AATTTAAATAATTTGAAAGTTCGAATTTGAATCTCTGTCTAGCCTTCAATGCATTGCACCAACTCTGGATTTTTTAACATCGCACCATTAACTTAAAAACGTTAAAAGGCTAAAATCCTAAGTCCGTAGCTATTCTTCACATCGCTCCTCGTACCCTTAAGTTCGGAGGCTTGACCATTTTGAACTTTTCACATCGTCTCTTTACCTTGAAGGTTTGAATTTTAAGTTCATCCGTGGTTTTGTCATCAGTGGTTTTGGCATCGCACCTCGTACCCTTAGGTTTTGGAGGATTGAATTTTAACCGACTGCTGGAATGTGATCGCGTGGGAGTCCGTGGCCCCCATTTAATTTCTGGTCGAACTCGGAATCGTGAAATTAAATCATCACATTTACTCCGATCATAATTCTTTTGAAACAGTGTTTACAGATCCATTGAAAACCCTTCTGGCATTTCAAGGATAATAACGCTTCAGGTGCTCCGCGTTCCACGGGTGCGCGAGGACGTCTCCTTTCAGATCGGCCAATACGTACGTCCCAGGTCGAACTATGCCCTTGACCTCAAACGGCCCCTCCCAGGCCGGATCAAGGGCACCCACATGGGTTTGGACCCTCCTTAAGACCAGATGTCCGACCTGAAAGGTCCGAGGTCGAACGCGGGCGTTGTAATGTCTGGTCATTCTGCCCTAATATTCCGCCAGGCGTAGCTGAGCCATCGCTCTTCTTTCTTCCAACAAGTCAAGGTTGAGGAGCAGCTCTTCCTCATTTGCCGTAGGCTCGTAATGCTCTACTCTGTCAGATGGCATGCCGATCTCAACCGGGATACAGCTTCGGAGCCGAAGGCCAGGGAGAACGGGTCTCACCCGTCGATTCTCTTTGGGTGGTCCGGTACGACCATAGAACCTCTGGTAGCTCCTCAGCCCACCTGCCTTTCTTGAAGTCCAGTCTAAGCTTGATGTCTCGCTTGATGATCTTGTTGACTGCCTCCACCTGCCCATTTGCTTGCGGATGGGCGGGGGACGAGCTAAGGTGACTTATGCCAAGCTTGCTGCAAAAGCCTTTGAACTTGGCGTTGTCAAACTGCTTCCCATTGTCTGTCACAATGGCCTGCGGTATACCAAAGCGACATATGATATTTGTCCATACGAAGGACGTGACTCTGGATTCYGTTATGTGGGAGAGCGCCTCGGCCTCGACCCACTTTGTGAAGTAATCCACAGCAACCACAGCGAACTTGGTCTGGCCCTTGCCCAAAGGGAAAGGACCAATGATATCTACCC